GCGCTATCTGCCCTAGCTTTAAACTGATAGGCGAGAGGAAAGACAGCTAGTGCATAGTTATAGAAGAGCTATCTGCGCTAACTGCCTCTAGTTTTAAACTGATAGGCGAGAGGAAAGACAGCTAGTACATAATGGCGATTTTCCGGACTTACAACTCTAAAATCAAAAGTTCGCTTACCCACGGCGAACAGAACACAGATAGCCTATCGTGGAGCAAACAGTCAACATTAATCAATCAACCTCTTTTAGTTGATATGCTATTACAACTGTTTACCGTGTAACAATTTGTAAGTGTTTCCTAATATGTAAATATGTTAAACTAATTGTAAACAAGATGGTTTTTATACTGTTACTTCTTCTACAATTATACACTTAAGAAGTTTGAACTGGGTAAAGCATAGGTTCTCCTCCCTCCAATAATATTCTCAAGGTTCTTCTAGTAATAATGCCTGATTCAATTTGATTTAAGTAGCATTACTCCAATAACATTATCAAGGTTCTTCTTGTAATAATGCCTGATTCAATTTGATTTAAGTAGCATTACTCCCTCCAATAATATTCTCAAGGTTCTTCTTGTTAATAATGTCTGATTCAATTTGATTTAAGTAGCATTACTCCCTCCAATAATATTCTCAAGGTTCTTCTTGTAATAATGCCTGATTCAATTTGAGTTAAGTAGCATCAGCCCTTTCCACATAGTTTCGCCACTCTCTTTCCTCCAGCCTTCCAGTTGACAAGTGCGACCTCTACCGCATATTTTCCTGTTTCTTTACTCCCCATCTTTTTTAACTGGCGACATTATTCAGAGATCTTAACGTTAATGAAAAAATTGGGTCTCGCAAGGTCTGTAGAGTAAAATAATATAGTGTTGTTAACTATCGTGGTCTACCAAGAAGATAGGAAAAGGCCAGAGGGCACATGGACTTAATCCAATCAGTATGATATGGTAGTTGTTCCCGTATTTACCGAACTATTCAAGGGCCCTACTTCTCATTGAATGATATATATATCATTGTGTCTTGGAATATAGGTCGTTATCAGAGGAGTTTTCGAGTATCTCAAAGGTTCACTTATGTTTTACGGACAAAGCCTGTCTCCGGTTTTGTGAGGGGTTTAGGGAGTCAGTCAGGAGTATGGTTCTGTCACGGGGTTTAGAGAGTAAGTCAGGGGTATGATTCTGTCATGGGGTTTAGTGAGTCAGTAAGGAGTAGGGTTCTGTCATAGGGTTTAGAGAGTCATTCAGTGGTATGATTCTGTCATGGGGTTTAGAGAGTCAATCAGGGGTATGAGTCTGTCATGAATATCACTGTTATTGGTCAACTAGACAAATGAATCCTCATATGTCTTACATTCTGCTCTGGATGAGCTGGACCGTCCAGTTTTGGCTGCTGACCATTGGAACATTAGATACCCATCTTTCCATACGGCTCCTACCCATGTAGTCACATTTTTCCTTAATAAGCCATTGCAACGATCAATGTCAGTCTCTGTGCTCGTATGTCTATTCCTTGACTTTGTCTGTGTTGACCATTTCTGACTTTGTCCTCCACATCCTGCTGCCGATCGTCACTGTTTTAGCCTATTGCCTTCTGCCTGGACCCACTCAATACGATTGTTGATATATCTCCTCTACATCTTTTTTTTTATCTCACTGACCTTTGCACTTGAAAAATGTCAGTTTCTATATTTCTGTTTCTTCTGCCCTCTCTCTCAAGTGCTGATATAGTGGGTGATATATAGTTGTGGTTGCTCTGAGTAGAGCTTGAATGGCTGGAATCCTTTACCTTGTAGTAATGCTGTTTCTCATGGCTACATTCTGCACTTTCTGTAACCTAGACTGCTGCCTTTGCTGCCGATACACAGAAGTAAATTTCTGGTCATGAATTTCGATCTCATCAACTGAAGTTTCTTTGATCAAGTTGCTTAGCAACAACGACGAGATCAACTTATATGATTAGGTAAACTTCAGTAACCAATGTGGTAGAATAAACTTAATGAGAATTTTCAAGTTCTTGTTTTCTCTTTAAATTTGCCCCCTAGTGGCTAAGCGATAAGTCCGAGAGCTCATATCGCCAAAAACCAAATTTCGATACCGTGGTGGGAACAGCAAAGATAGCCCATTGTTTAGCTTTGTGCTTAACAACAAGCAAACAAGGCGCATCAATTCTTTTACCATTTTTTGAGTGAAAACATAGTATGCTACATGCTTCTGACTTTTCATTAAGAAATAAAATGTTCAAATATTTTCAGACGTATCAGAATGTGAATTTTGCTAAGTTTTGTAGACCTCGTGATACTTATTTTAATCTGTTTTCTATATTTTGTAAATGAACGATTATTCACACATATAAATGCTTTAAACGTTTAAAAGGTTTAAAAACAAATATTAATAGAAAGCCAACAGTTTAACATTTCAGTAGTAAGTTTATGGACTTACAACGCCAAAATCCGGGGTTCGATTCCACCAGGTGAACACAGCAGGTAGCCTGATGTGGCTTTGCTCTATACAAACAAACAATTTAAACTTTAATAGCGAATTTTTGTAGTAGAATAAAAACCTTTTATTCTACATTTTAATTAATATTAATAATATTAATTAATTAATAATAATACTGCTGTATTATCTACAGCTTTTAATTACTTTTAGCGAATTTTTTTTATTTAATAAGATAGCTTCATTCACAGCAGATACCCATACAATCAGAGAATCTTTAAGTTCAAAGAAA